ATATTCTGGGCGTGGAACAGGGGTCACTGGGGTGTGTGGGGGGTATTGGTGAATTTCCTGCATTGTGTATGGGGTTGGACTAGATGACCCTGGAGGTCCCTTCCCACTCTATGAGTCTATGATTCTATAATTCACCCAGGCTGGCTGTGGGCACGCCAGCACCTCTGTCAGGCAGAAGCGCCTGAGATCCTCCCCCTCCCCTTTTCCTTCGCCCGACTTGGAGGCGAAGGGAAGGGAGAGGGGGGAAAGAATGGATCCCAGGTGATGTCAGGGGGTGTGGCATATGCTAATAAGTTATGCCAATGAGCTCCTGCAGCTCTTTTTCTACGAAATGACCCCTGAGAAGCTCAATGAACTACTTGTGTCTGTGTTCACTGTAGAAACCGTGGGGGCCTGTACCTGCGCCACAGCCATTATTTTCAGGAAGGGTCTCTGAAGAACTGAGTCAAAATGAGGTGATAAGAGATGAAGTTCTAAATTAGAACCTACTAGGGAAATTAAAAACCAGAAAGTCTACGGGTCCATGCTCCCTCTAAGCTCTGGAGTTTTGTGAGCAAAAATTCTACTTTGTGAGCTACTGGCATGAAAGCTGTGAGCAAGCGATTTGGCTGCTGCATAAATTAGTTTGCTCTGGAGCCCTCCTTCCTGAGCTGAGACAAAAATGTGTGAGCCGGAGGCTAAAAAACTGTGAGCTCGCTCACACTGAGTCGGCTTAGAGGGAACACTGGCCATGATGTAATAGGAGGGGACTGGTTTCACCAGGTAACCTGACTCCTGGGCTAGAGGAGCTCGCCCGGAGATATTTGCATGTTGACTTAAAACAGAAGCAGGGTGTTCTCTCTCTCTCCTGTCCGTCTCCCCACACCCTCCAGTGGTATGGACTTTGAACCATGCAAGGCAGGACAATTTTAAGCTTATTTCCCCCTTAAATTACAGCCAATGAAGCCTCCATATTCAGATAGCGCTGAATACCAGCTGTGGGGAGGGGGGGGAGGGGAAGTTTCCTTCCTGCTCCAAAGAGGAAGCCAGTTTATGGTTTGATCTATGTGCTTAGCTTCTCTTCCCCCTTAATAGTTCCTTTCGAAAGAACACATCCTTAGTCTTAGGACAGTAATGAGAATGATAAGGATGGAGGGGAAGGAAAAGAAGAAGAACAAGAAGAAGAGATTGGATTTATACCCGGCCCTTCACTCGGAGTCTCAGAGCAGCTTACAAACTCCTTCCCCTTCCCCTCCCCACAGATACCCTGTGAGGTAGGTGGGGCTGAGAGAGCTCTGACAGAAATTGCTTTTTTGAGAACACCTCTGACGTAACTATGGCTTGCCCAAGGTCATCCAGCATCTGCGAGTGGAGGAGTGGGGAATCAAACCTGGTTCTCCCAGATTAGAGTCCACACACTTAACCACTATACCAAACACGTGCCGAGGACTGGATCCCTGCCAGAAATTCTCACCACTTAAAAAAATACGCATAACAATGACAACATATATCCTTTTAGTAAGTATGAGTCTCAAGGCCTCTTTAATTCTGCTGCCTACGGCCAGTCTGGCATCTCTCGCACGTGGGTCCGTGTGTGTGAAATCAGGCTCGACCGCTGAGAGAAGCGTTTCCCGCAATCCAAGCACTCGTGCGGCTTCTCGCCTGTGTGGATCCTCTGGTGCCTCATAAGGACCGAACTCTGACTGAAGCTCTTCCCGCAGTCCGAGCATTCGTAGGGCTTCTCGCCCGTGTGGGTCCTTCGGTGTGTTCGAAGGCTGGAGCTAACAATGAAACACTTCCCACAGTCCGGGCATTTATACGGCCTCTCTCCCGTGTGGGTTCTCTCGTGGGCCACAAGGTTTCCTCTCTGCACGAAGCTTTTACCACAGTCTGAGCACTGGTAGGGCTTTTCCCCGATATGTATCTGCTGATGCGTGAGGAGGGCGGAGCTTAAACTGAAGCTTTTGCCGCAGTCTGAACATTTATACGGTTTCTCTCCTGTGTGGGTCTCCTCGTGGACAATGAGCCTGGATCTGTGAATAAATGTCTTCCCACACTCAGCACACTTATGCGGCTTCTCTCCCCTATGCGCTCTCTCGTGCGCCACCAAGGTCGATCTATCGACAAAGCTTTTCCCGCACTTGGTGCAACAGTATGGTTTTTCTCCTGTGTGGGTTCTTTTGTGGACAATGAGGCCCGACTGATGAGTGAAGCTCTTCCCACAGTCCAAACACACAAAAGGCTTCTCTCCCGTGTGGGTTCTCTGATGCGCGTCAAAACTGGTTTTGTGGCGGAAGAGTTTCCCACAGTCCGGACACGTGTACGGCTGCTCGGCCGTGTGCAGCTTCTGATGCCTGTAGAGATGTGAGCTCAAACGAAACCGTTTTTCACAGTGGGCGCACTGAAAAGGTTTCTCTCCTGTGTGGGTCCTCTCATGCGCCACAAGGTTGGATCTGTAATGGAAGCTTTTCCCACATTCCAGACATTTGTGGAGTTTCTCAACCATATTCATTTCATCGCATGGAATGAGCATCGAGCTCTGATTGCAGCTTTTTGCACGTTCAGTCCCACAGTCCTTGTCAATATTATGGATTATCTGGTGCTCATCTGAGTCACTGCATTCTTTGTACACCACTGGGCAAGAAGTAGATTTCTCAGATCTCTTCCCTGCTGAGTTTCCATGCTGGCTTTCAACATCATCTCCCTGCTGATGGAACAAGGACATTCTTTCTTCAGTACATCCTGATGACATCTTTTGCTTTTTCTCATGCAGAGGGCTTTCCTGTGGTGTAAGCATGTCCTCTGTCTCATTCCAAGACCTGTAACCTGAATAGAATGACAATGTCATAAGAACATAAGAGAAGCCATATTGGATCGAGCCAATGGCCCATCCGATTCAACACTGTGTCACACAGTGGCCAAAACCCAGGTGCCATCAGGACGCAGCTCAGTCACATGACACCCCACCCCACCCTGGGGGCTGTAAATTCAGCCGATGAAGGAACTTGGCTTCCAACAGGTGCAGGGTCTTTTTGGTTGTGGCTCCACTGCTGTGGAATATTCTAGAACATCAGAAGAGCCCTGACGGAGTTGACTAAAGGTCCATCTAGTCCAATATTCTGGGTTTGGGCCCACAGAATGTGACTTTCCCACATCTCCCACAGACACAGTAGACCAAAATGTCAAGAAATTTGAAACAGGATTTCTAAGAAACCTATCTCCAAATCTTAGAAATTTTGGAGATATGTTTCTTTGATTTTTCTCTTTTACTTTCTTCCTTTTTCTCTTTCTCTTTCCTTATTTTTAATATATATGAAAAAAATAAAAAGTTTATTAAACAAGAAGATTGAAACATGAAAACTGCACTCCGCAGACAAAAGCGCTTGTACCTATGGAAACGTCTGGCCTGGATCTGAGCCTGTTTTCAACAATGACCCACCAGATGCTCCCAGAAAGCCCACAAATAAGATAGGAAGACAACAGCCTGCCCTTGTCTGCCCCTCCCATGGCTCTCCAAAGGTACACTGCGCCTAAGCATGGAGGTTCCATTTATGGCTATACACCAATGACAGATGTATGAGTTTGTCTAATCCCTATTTAGTATGCATTATACTGTGGTACCGCAAATCTCCCCCCCCCCCTTTGAGAATTTCCTTTATGTTGTTCTTTTGATTTTCCTTCCTGTCTCATCCCTTTGTTCTCTCCCCACCCAGTGATTTGTCCAACTTCTGACTGTAAGGTCCTAGCTGGGAAGGAGAGAGAAAGATGTTTTTACTGTCAAAAACAATACGTGTATATTTGACCGACTGCCAACTGCTATATATTAGGGCTTGTCATTTTCTAGCACAACACTTAAGCCTTGCTGTCATTTATTATTATCATTATCATTATCATTATCATTATCATTATCATTATCATTATTATTATTATTATTATTGACGTGAGTAATTGCAAGCCATGGGTCAGGGCATTCAGTTTCCCTTCATTGTATATAGTGCCTAGTGCAATGTTAAGCAATGATATTCATCGCACTCTTTATTGTATGCATTCACTTATTTCTACGGCATTGTTTTTATCAGTTTATTGACTTCAATTGCAACCTGTCTTTCTCCCCCGTGTGGACTCAAAGGGGTTTACACCATTCTCCTCTTTTCCATTTTATCCTCACAACAATCCTGTGAGGTGTATTAGACTGAGAGCATATGACTAGAGAGCTTCCACGGCGCAAGTGGGGATTCGAACCCAGGTCTACCAGAGATTAGTCCAACACTTTTAACCACTACACCACATTAGCTTTCTAATTCTTGTGGTCCAGTTTTTCCATTGTTTACTTGACGGTAGACCTTATTCTGGTTTTTAATGGCATTGTTTTCTAAAGTTTGTAACCCACCTTGAGTCTCAGCAAACAAGGTGGCCTATACATAAACGATAATTTATTATAATTACGTTCCATTTTCCTCTATCGCACAGAAGCACAAGATTAACCCTTATTAGTAAATATTATTGTTTGCAAATAGGGTTGCCAACTCTGGGCTGACAAATGCCTGGAGATTCTGGCGGTGGACTCTGGGGAGGGAGGGCTTTGGCAAGGGAATCGTGCCATAGAGTCCACCTCCTTTCTCCAAGGGAACTGTCGTCTGGGAATCAGTTGTGATTCCGGGAGATCTCCAGGCACCACCTGGAGACTGACAACCCCTTTTGCAAACCATGGGCGTTTCAAACCCGCCAGTTCCTTTCGTCGCGCGGAGCCTAGCACAACGTTCTGGCACCTTTGGTAAATGCCCATTTGAAAGTACTGAGGCAGAGGGTAAGAATAACGCCACATTTTAGTCAATCCGGATTACAACAAGGATGCGATGCCGCCCCTCCATTTTAAAAGGGCTCTACGCGAACGCTACCGGACCCGGTGGAGCTTTCTCGCCAGCAAACATGCCCAGGATCGGGACTGCCGCCTTCCCTTCGGTTTGGCAAAGAAGCGTTACAGCAGCAGTGGAAAGGGGAGGCGATTCAACCCGGATCGCTCCGTACGCACCAACCTCGTGGCTGTTCAATCCCGGCTTTTAGACTTGTAAATAGGAGGAAGATACTATAAACAGTGCCTTGTTCCGGATCCTTCTCGGCTCCTCCCGTTTCTCCCCGCCGTTTTGCACCCTAAACCGTCCGGCTCCAGCCTCTTCATACAATCAAACCCCACCTCGTTCACACGGGGCGGGGGAATCGACCCGGATCTTGCACGCATTTGACCTCGGAAGCTCCGCGGCGCACATTCCCTCGGGCCGGCCAAGCGAGGGGGATGCCGCCGCCGCCGCCGCCGCCGCCTTCTCTCGAGAGCCCTCTGCTGGCCGTAGCCTAGGCAGAGCCACTCCCTCGACTGCGTTCCCACAATCAAGGCGGGACGCGTGTCTGATTCTCCCTCCGACAGGCCTTCGAGGAACTTAACCGTGGCTGCAGCTCAGGGATCGCAATGCAAAGTAGACTTTGCGGTCTCAACACTTGAGAGACGCGTGTCGCAAAGTCTTGCGTGAACGGAGAACGTGGGGATCTGCCTCGTTTTGCCTTCTCTCTGCTCCAGTTGTAGCGAAGCCGCTGTTGTGGGCTGGTTATCTGCAGAGGTGATTTTTTTAAAAACATTTTTTCCTAGAGCAACGAGAAGAAACAGAAGTCAGGGAAAAGTACTAGGAAGGAGAATCTGGTTTGGGGAGTGAGAAGAGGAAAGGTTGGTATCCCCTTAATACCCTTGGGAGGGCAATGCCAGTCAGGGAGGTATAGAGTTGCCAACCTGGAGATTGGGGGTGGTGGAGCCTGGGGAAGGCAATGTTTGGGGAGGGGAGGGACCTCAGTAGGGTATAATGCCACAGTCGGCCATCCAAAGGACCCATTTTCTCCAGGGAGACTGATCTCGGTAGTCTGGATATAATTTCTAATTCCGGGAGATCTCCAGGCCTCATCTGGAGGCTGGCAACTATAGGCATCACAGCCGCCCCGCCCCCCCCCCCTGGATTTTTTAGTCTCTGGCAGAGCAGAGGGTCCGTATTTTGCGTTTGGGGGAGATGGAATGGTTAAATATTTCTCATGTTGCCGGGATCAGCTTCGTCCTGGATCTCCAATGTTAAAACTCAACATGTGGGGTGGAGACATCCAGTCTCTAGCCCACATATACATAACAGCAGCACGTGAATGGTAAGGCCTTGTTTAGTGTTCAGCCCGACCCACTGACTCATTGCAACCGCTCAGACATATTTTGAATGTTTGAGAGAGGACTGTAGAGCTGGGGTAGTGTAGCGTAATGGTTACAGCATTAGACAAGGACTGGGGAGACCCACGTTCAGATCCCTGCTTGGCATGAAAAACATGCTCGCTTGGTTTAGACGTGACACAAAACCAGGGTTTATAGTTACTCTGGGAATCCAGGATTCCGTTGCTGGATAGGGTTGTTGCCAACCAGGGCCGGTGCTACCATTAGGCCAACTAGGCAACCGCTTAGAGCACAGACCTCAGTGGGGCACAGAACTGACAATTAGCATTAGGGTGTGAAATCTGTCACATGTCTATCAGGTGTAAATTTTCTAATAAAAAAGGAAGTTGAGGTAAACAGTGGGAATCCTGTCATTAATCTTCCAAGGGTGAATTTTCTATGCAAATGGCTAGAACAGAATTAGCAGTTAGCACAGGTGGGGGGAGTGAAATCATGTTGGAGTAAACAGAAAGTGAGATTAAGGAATGAAGGGATAAGAAAGGTGTTGTAGCAGGCTCAGACATAAAAAGACAGAGAGAAGAACAGGACAGTGTTTCACAATAGTCCTGTAGAACTCTTATTGCTGGGGAAACTATTTTTGACAGAACAGGAGGCACATAATGAGGAATTTAGGTCCAGAGTTAAGTGAGCACAAATCTTCTTTGGCTAATATATGCTAACCCATAGGGATTTTATTCACAAAGAGGAGGGTTGTGGTGTTTCATGTTTGCTCTGAAGACTGAAAGTTGCTGGGAGAGGATCCCACCTGTGGGCACCTCAGGGATCATGCCACTGTTGGTTAAGCCTATGTTTGCTCACCAAGAAAATAATCCTGCTCACAGTCTGACCCTATGCACTTTATTTTATTTAATTTATATATGGTCTTCCTCTCTCACTGAGACTCAAAATGGGCTACACGGTGTAAGTCAATGCAATAATTCACACGAGACATCTAATAAACAATGCAATAAGACTAGGATTACAGCAATTTGACACAGAGCAAAATGATATGACAAAGGTAGAAAGCAACCTAACAAGACAAACCAAGCTGAACCCTGGGTACATGCAAGAACAGAGACTCAGCATGTGCACACTTCTTCACATACATTGAAACAGATTTCCTCAACTATAGCATGCAGGTAGGGGGAGTTAGTTGTCAGGAAGAGGTTATTAGAGTCAAGATGCATAAGTAACTGAGCAATAAATACAGCAAGATTGAAATAACAATATGGTAGGACATGGAAGAAGGAGGAGGAGGAGACTGGATTTATACCCCACCCTTCACTACCCAAAAGAGTCTCAGGGCA